CTTTTAGTATGTTCAACAGTAAATGCTTATATTCAAGCATTTCATGGAGATTTTACTATTGAACTTTATCGAGCACATGTCGAAGATATTGCTAAAATTTTATTAATACATATGGATGATCAAAATACTCAAATTCAAAATGCTGTTTTTGGTAAATAAAATATTCTAAGTCCTTTTTATATAAATAAATTTCTTTTTTTTTAGATACTGTTTTTCAATTTGCAACTCAATTGAAAGATGCATCAGAAATATTTATTAATGAAATTCGTAATGTTAAACATAAACATCGTAATCAAACTTTATGCGATACATTAATTGAACGTATTCAAAAGTCAAAATAAATCATTGTTTTTGTTGGTTTTTGTTGTTATATATTTAATATACTGGAAGAAATAAAAAAGAAAAAGAAAACCAATCTAAATACAATAAATAAAACAAAAATGTTAGTTGCATAAACCAGTAAGAAAATCGATTTGTTAAGTTAGAAGAAAACAAACTTTATACATTGATTATTTAATTGAGGCGAAATTAGGTATATATCTAAATACTATCATCAGGTATTATTCTTGATAAACAACTAAATCGATAATTCTCTTGATTATTATTATCCCAATATTCTAAACCATTGGAAGATTCATAACAAATACAAAACTGGATATTATTTCCCGTACATATTCTATCACGATCAATTTCTAATATAAAGGAAAATCGATCATAACTATCATCATAAGAATCCGGTATATAAGTTGCATAAAACTCTTTTGATGATATCCAATTATCAGTGGTTAAACGTATTCTAACTTGTTTATGTAAGCCAATTGAATATAATTTAACTGTACCATATATTCGATTATCAATTGCATCTAGAATAAAATCATCAAAAAAAACAAAATTTCAACTTTAATGAACTTACTTGCTTGTTCGAGAAGAATTTTCTGTTGTGTAACACGATCATTAAAACCGTATGCATGAATAGGATTTTCAAATTGTGATTCCATATAATTGATAGTTTTCATTTGTTTATGATTGGATAATGTACATGAATCTTCATGATTACTGATTTGTAAATCTTTAAATGCTGTACTTGGTATAGATGGTAATTCATCGGAGGTAATCATCTTAATTTGATTTAAATCTAAACCGGAATCATCCGCGAAATGAACGGCTTTTTTTGGACAGGAATTAGTTGAACTGATGGATAGTAATTTAACCGAATGAGATTTTTTTCGTTGATAACCGGAAAAAGTATTTAGTAAAATTGATTTTGGTGAATGATCATTTGTTATATGTTCAGATTGCGTGGAAGAATTACATTCATCATTGTCATCAGATTCATCAGTGAATGTATATGGTGGTGGTGGTGGTGATGCAGAGCTTACTTTGAATTTGTCAATTAACGATGAAATTTGTCGTTGGGAATGTCCTAAATATCAGATTGTTAATTAAATACGAAGAATTCAAATAATTTTTACCATTGAGATTTATTTGATTTTTATTCAAAGGTTGTCTTCGTTTTGTATGAAAAGCTTTCGATTGATATAATATTGCATCAGGGGAAAATATATTTTTTTCACTATTGTGTCCATTACAAATATGATTTACCATATTATTAATCACGTAAATATCCATTGATACAATTTGATCTTTATCTGGTATTCTAACTATTATAATCCAATTTAATATTGATTAAAACAAAGAAAAAAGATTGAATTCTAATTAAAGAAGTTATAAATATTCGAAGGCTAAATATAAACTATTGTTGTAACTTGCCTCTTAAAAATAAGATAAATGTCGTATAAACCAATATATACAACTGGCTATTTATAATATTCAATGCATTAGAACGGGTACATCGCTCCCGTTCTGCCAAGGACGCACAAAGAAACACGATAAAAGCCACGCGTCAAAAGAACACCGTATTTTTGATGTTATTTGTTGTGAATGAATATTATGTATTCTATATGGTACAAAGTCGAACAAACTACGCAGTTTTTCGTTTCTTAGTCTTTCTTTCGTTCGACAACATCTATTTTCTTTAAATGTATGTGTTAGTAACGCTTGAAAATATGGCGATGAACTAGCAAGTATTGTTCGATGACATGGAAATTTCTTACAGCCAACAATAAATGTAGATGTTGTATAAGGCATACGCATTTTTCTAAAATAAAATTTAAATTAAAGCTCTTCGTCATATATTGACCAAGCATTTCATAGAGATTTCACTATTGAACTTTATCGAGCACATGTTGAAGATATAGCTAAAACTTTATTAATTCATATGGATGATCAAAATACTGTTTTTGGTAAATGAGAAAATTCTAATTCATTTTTATATAATTACATTCTTTTTACATACTGTTTTTCAATTTGCAACTCAATTGAAAGATGCATCAGAAATATTTATCAATGAAATTCGTAATGTTAAACATAAACATCGTAATCAAACTTTATGCGATACATTAATTGAACGTATTCAAAAGTCAAAATAAATCATTGTTTTTGTTGTTGTATATTTAATATACTGGAAGAAATAAAAGAAATAAAAAATATCGGTTGTATAAACTAATAGGAAAATCGATTAGATAAATCAGAAGAAAACAAAAACAGCATACATTGAGGCAAAATCAGGTATGTATCTAAATACTATAATCAGGTATCGTTCTTGATAAACAGCTAAATCGATAGTTTTCTGCATTATTATTATCCCAATATTCTAAACCATTGAAAGACTCATAACAAATACAAAATTGGATATTATTTCCCGCACATATTCTTTGACGATTAATTTCTAATATAAAGGAAAACCGATCGTAAGTCCCATCATGAGAATTCGGTATATAAGTTGCATAAGAATCTCTTGATGATATCCAATTGTCAGTTGTTAAACGTATTTTAACTTGTTTATGTAAGCCAATTGAATATAATTTAACTGTACCATATATTCGATTATCAATTGCATCTAGAATAAAATAATCAAAAAAAAACAAAAATTTTAATTTTAATAAACTTACTTGCTTGTTCGAGAAGAATTTTTTGTCGTGTAACACGATCATTAAAACCATATGTATGCATAGGATTTTCAAATTGTGATTCCATATAATTGATAGTTTTCATTTGTTTATGATTGGATAATGTATATAAATCTTCATGATAACTGATTTGTAAATCTTTAAATGCTGTACTTGGTATAGATGGCAATTCATCGGAGGTAATCATTTTTATTTGATTTAAAACTAAACCAAAATCATCTGCAAAACGAACGGCTTTTTTTGGACATGAATTAGTTATATTGATAGGTAGCAATTTAACTGATTGAGATTTTCTTCGTTGATAACCGGAAAAATTATTAGGTAAAATTGGTTTTGACGATTGTGTAGAAGAATTACATTCATCATTATCATCAGATTCATCAGTCAATGCAGATGGTGGTGGTGGTGATGATGTAGATCTTACTTTAAATTTTTCAATTGATAATGAAATTGGTTCTAAATATAAAATAGTCAATTAAATATAAAAATTTTAAATAATTTCTACCGTTTAAATTGATTTGATTTTCACTCACACGTTGTTTTCGTTTTGATCGAAAAAATTTCGATTGATATGATATTGCATCAGGAGAAAATATATTTTTTTCAGCATTATTTCCGTTATAAGTAAGATTTCCTGTATTATTAATCTGACAAATATCCATTGATAAAATTTGATCTTTACCTGCCATTTTAACTGTTAATATTCTAACATAATATAGATTAAAGAAAAGAGATTATAATTATAAAATATTCTTGTGACACACCCCTCAACGATAAGAGAACTAATGTCGTAGAAACTAACACATAGAACTGTTTGTTTATAGCATTCAACGTATCATAATGAGTACATTGCCCCCGTTCTGCCAAAGGCGTACAACGAAGTACGAGAAAAGCAATGCGTCATAAGCACAACCAATTCTTTTTATGACGTTAGTTGAGAATGGATGTTTTGTGCCCTACGCTGTGCAAAGTCGAACAAACTACGCATTTCTTCTTTTTTTCCTATTCTTTCTTTCGCTCGACAACATCTTTTTCATGATAAAGAAAAAAATCGTTCTTCTTCAATAATCAATCTTTTCTTTAAAAGATTCCAGACGTTGCGTTGCTAAGTATTTTATTATCAATATATTTCCGCTTCGTCTTCTATAGAAAAAAATTAGGCCACTTTTGAAAAAAATAAGAATATCTATCGTGTCAAAAATCCACTTTATTTATTAATCAAAACTAAAATTTTTTATAACAGATATATATATAAATACAAGAAAATAGAATTTTTATCGAAGAATAGCTGCTGCTCCATATACATGTATAGGTATATCATTCATTCGTATCCATTTATTTTTTTGAATATGAAATATTTCAACTGTATTCAGTATTTCGGAATGTGTACCTAAACTTGTTCTTCCACCAAAAATAATTATATACAATCCGAAACGATATATACATGGACTAATACGAGCAAATATCATTGGTGGTAATGGATACCATCGACAATAATTTGCATTATAAACTTCAACTGAACGTAAAGCATTTCCATTTGCATCTGCACCACCAAAAACATAAACTTTTTCGGTTTCTTCATCAAGACATGTAGAACAAAATGTTCGTGCTTCAAACATATCTGTACATAAATAACTTTGTCCTGTTTTAATATTATATATTTCTGTTGTTTTAACTGGTAAATTAAATAGACATGAACCACCAATACATAATATTAATCCATTTAATTGTACACATGCAAAACCATAACATGGAGATTTTAATTTATATGGTAATAATGTCCATGTACTTGTTTTACAATCAAATTTTTCAATTGTTGATGTTATATCAGCACCAATATGACCACCTAATGCATAGAGTGTCGTTGAATCTATAGCTACTAAACCAAAATTACATCGTGGTGTTATCATTGAACTTGTTTGTGTCCATCTTTTATTATTTATTTTTGATAATGGATCAAATATTTCAACTGAATTAAATATATTATCACCATCTTCACCACCAACAATATAAATAAGACTACCAAGTGCTGCTATTTGATGATGCATACGTGGATAACGCATTTCATCGCCATAAATTTGTTCAATTTCAATTGAATATAATGATGAACATTCATTTAGATTTAAATGACAACGATATGATGATGTTAATAATTGTGAATCATGATCATCTATAGGTGTGCCATATCCACCGAATAGATAACATGTTTGTCTTACACCACGTCGAGCTGGTGTACTATCTAATGTACATTCTCGTTGAGAAATAGTTTGTTCTATACGATCAACTGTCGATGGACTTGTCTAAAAATGAAAATGTAAATGATTTATAGTTCTCAAATTTCATTCACAATTATTGATAAAGACTAGAAAAATAATTGAGGATATCTTGTTACATTGTATTACTGATAACGCACGATAATCTTCGAAATATTAGAATAAAATATATGATTAAACAAATAATATGTCAGGTATATTGATTAAATAGTCAATTTTTTATAGTTTGTTGACAGTTGCCATGGAATATATTAATATAACTTGTATGACAGGATGTCAAGCAATCGTTTCAGAATATCATTCATCAATTTAATCGGTAAGAATTCCTTTCACTTATACTTCACTAACATTCAAGTAGATGAAAATTATAAACACTATATAAGTTAATTATCTATGTGTAATTAAAAATCTGTCATAGAGTATATCGCGTACGTAAACATATCATGCTTAAGAAGTGCTAATAGTCTGTCTAGATTTGATATATTTTCCTATAAACATTGAATAGAAATATAAGACAGTCGTTAAGAGAAAACAAGGAAATTATATCTATGAAAATGATATATATATATATAAGAGAAAATAATAACATTCCAGAAAGAGACGTAGATTTTCTTGCCTTTCTCTATCACTTAGAAATAAACGGATGTAATCAATAGTTAATGTAAAATAATAACTATAAAATACTTCATGATAATATCGAAAAATAATCAAGAAGGTAAACACTAGTTTATAATTTAATCTTCTAATTATAACAAGAAAATTCTTATTACTTACATTTCCAATTTGTTGTAAAATAAGATTTTGATGTTCTTTTGAAATATATTGAAACCTAACATTATCAAATAAATGGTCCGATGATTGTTCAAGATTATTCATATACCAAACTAATATACTTTCAAGAACTTGTTGTTCATTATCAACAACTAAATCATCATTTGATATAATTTTTAATAATAAATCTTTTGGGAGTAGTTTAATCATATTAAGTTGAAATAAACTACGAAAATGTGTTAATAGATAATGTTCAGCATCATTTTTTAATTCTAAACATTGTAATTCATTTGCTATTCTCCATACATCAATAACATTTTTTTCATTTAAACCTATTGATAAATAATGACAACAAAATTGTACAATTTCATTAAGTTGAAACATATCACTAGCAACTAAAATATCTTCAACATTATTATCATCAAGTTCAATTTTACCACTATAAATATAATTTAATAATAATGAAAATATATCCGAATCAATATCACGTAATTCAATTGAATCAAGTTTATTTTCTTTAAATGTATGTGTAAGTAAAGCTTGAAAATATGGCGATGAACTAGCAAGTATTATTCGATGACATGGAAATTGTTTACAACCAACAATAAATGTTAAATCACAATATGTACCAGAATTCAAATATTCATATAGGTTTTGATAAAATAAATTGACTTGAGATGCAGATGTTGTATAAGGCATACGCATGTCTCTAGAATTTAATTTAAAACTCTTCTCCATATATTGACAGATATAGCAATATGTATAGTTCAGGAGACTGATGAAATAGTTGTATAGGCTATATAATTTCAGTAAATTATTCATATCAATGCTTAATGTAACGCTGACGTCTGGTAATAAAATGAGACACACACAGCCTGATAAAATATGTACTTTTACGATTTATATTTATACTCAATAACCTGAAATACTTATCTAAAAATACGATCTGATAAAGAAACCTTCCGAGAGATTTTCAAGCATTTAGACTTTATCTTTTGACTATAACTAGATTTCAGTAAGCTATTGAATTTTTAACAAAATCATTTTCGACTATTCTTTTATATCTTATCGAGATGTAGTTATAGCTTCAAGATAGAATCGATATTCCTTGAATATCTCAAGACGTTCGCTCATTCAAGGAAGAGTAACAAGATGTGCCTACTTCAAAAAATTATCGAATATGTCAACGATGACTGTATGATGAAAGAATATTAACTCATGACTGACTTTGGGTGTATAAAATCTCCAGTCATCTATGTATTATCATATGATTGGTATGACCTAGACACGTTTACATAATAAAAATAGATGACCAGGTGTATCTAATAGTGCAATAAAAATCAAAATTTACTCGTTGGAACTGCCATCTAACATATGAATGGTCGAATTTAAACCAATCAGAACAGAACTCATTTATGCATTATAATAATATTTTATACTCATATAATTATCAATAATTATAATTTTATCATGGAATAAAATAAAATAAAAATAGAAAATAATTATTATTTTTTAATTTTTATTATTTTCTTATCATAGAGAGTATCAATGTCAACGTAAATGGCAAAAACAATAACCTTTTACGCGCCTCTCTTATTCTCTTTCTTCAATGTTTTTTTTTCTTCTTTTCTATCATTTCGTCGGTTTGTACGCTGATTTAGACAAACTAGTCGAGAATATTTTTTTTTATTCGCTCGTATTGATTCTTTTCCATCATATTTTGACTATTTCTCCCGGCTTCCTCCGTGATGAAGAACGAAGAAGTATATACTAATAGTAATGATGACAGTCAGCTTTAAGACAGGAAAAGGATATTTAACATCTGTGCGAGAGTGAAAAAGAGGGACAGACAAGCAAAGCGACGAGAAAGAAAAGTAGGAGCGAAAATACGAGTCTTTTTCTTCTTCTTCTT